GGCCGAGGTAATGGGCTGGATGAGGGCCAATACCTCGGCCAGGCACCGGTTCAGCACAGCCACTGCCTCACCTGGATTGGTTGAAAAAGAGAGGTAGAGCTGGGTATCATCAGCATACTGATGACTCCACAGCCCAAACCTCCTGATGACCTCTCCCAGCGGTTTCATGTAGATATTAAATAGCAAGGGGGACAAAATGGAACCCTGCAGTACTCCATGGCATAGCTGCCATGGTGCAGAGCCATAGTCCCCCAGCACCACCTTCTGGAATTGGCCATCAAGGTAGGAGCAGAACCACTACCAAGCAGTGCCTCCTACTCCCAATCCTGCCAGCCTATCCAGGAGGATACCATAGTTGATGGTATCGAAAGCCGCTGAAAGGTCCAGGAGAACCAACAGGGATGCACTCCCCGTCTCTCTCCCTGCACAGGTCATCGTTCAGGGCGACCAAGGCAGATTCAGTACCTTACCCAGGTCTGAAGCCAGACTGAAATGGGTGCAGATAATCAGTTTCATCCAAGAATACTTGGAGTTGTCCCGCCACCACCCATTCCAACACCTTGCTCAAAAATGGGATGTTGGCCACCGGTCTATAATTGGCGGCCATCTCTGGATCCAGAGACACCCTCTTTAGGACAGGCCTGATTACTGCCTCCTTTAAAGGAGCAGGCACCTGGCCGTCCCTCAGAGAGGCATTAATAACCTCCAGGATCCAGGAACCAATCCCATGTTTGGCTTTGGTCAGCAGCCACGAAGGGCAAGGGTCGAGTAAGCAGGTGGTAGGACGTACTTGTCCAAGCACCTTGTCCGCATCATCAGGCTGCATTAACTGAAATTCATCCATTAATACCTGACCAGACGGAGTCATTGGTGTCTCCCCTAAGGAATCTGAATCAATTGCAAAGTCCAGCTCGTAATGAATCTGAGCGATTTTCTCCTTGAAGTGCTGGGCAAAGTCATTACAGGATCTTTCGTAGGGCCAGGGTATAGCAGCCCATTTACCACTCAAAAAATCTCTACTGGACGGCATTGTGAGGAGGCAATGGAAGTGGAGAAGAATTTCTTCTTTGCTGCCCTCACCACCACAGCATAGGTTCAATAATGAGCACATAAGTGTGTTCGGTCAGATTCATCCTGTGATTTCCTCCACCTACACTCTAGTCATCTCCCAACCTGCTTCATCGCCCATAATTCAGATGTATACCATGGAGATGGATGGGCTCCGCTTGGCAGGAGAGGACGTTTAGGGGCGATTGTGTCAATTGCTCTGGCCATTTCCCCATTCCACAGTTCAACCAGAGCATCAACAGGAGCGCCAGCTTTATCAACCGGAAAATCCCCCAGAGCCTTCACGAATCCATCCGGATCCATCCAGCTCCGAGAGTGGACCATCACAAAAGGGTCCGCACCCTTAAGGAGGGAAAGGCCAGCTCCGAGCTCAAACCTCACTAGGAAGTGATCTGACCATGACAAGGGAGTCAGATGCAAATTCCTCAGCCTCAAATCACCCTCTTCCTGCCCTGTCAAGAAAACCAGATCCAGCATGTAACCACATTCATGGGTTGGGCCTATGACATGTTGAGACAGCCCCATGGTCATCATGGAGGCCATGAAGCCCTGAGCCACCCCGGTCAGAACAGTCTCAGCATGGAGATTGAAGTCCCGCAGGACTTCATCCTGTTAAGCTCCAAGGTAGGCAAAATACTTCTTTACAAACAGATGTTATGCCACTGAACTCCATTCTAGAGCTGTACCTTAACTTCAAGTCTGAATCATACACACCTGCAGCACAGTGAGCTGAAACTTGGTTCCCTTCTCTGGTCGGACACAGGAGGTCCTCCTTTGCTTGCTCTTGTCTTGTTTGCCATTTCCACTTGGAAGGTCACACCCAGTGGCACCTTCTTTCAGAGGGGCTAGGTCAGCAACTGGTCTAAAAAACAGGAAAAAAAGTAGGTGAGCATTCTTCAAGGGATACAGAGATGTTCCTTAGGAGAAAAAGAAAAATATTCTTACCCTCTATAGCATCTCCACATACATTTCAATAAAGCATTTATTCACAATTCATAATTAAGCTTAAACAGCAAGGTTTACATTGGGTCATAGTAGCCAAGTTATTTAATACTTGAAAGTACAAATACTAAACCAGACTAGGACTGGAGGCAGACCCTAGTTTTTAAGCAAGGTGAAGGTTGCTATCACTGCCCTTGTCAACATTCTCACTTATTTCATCACACCACTGCTGCTTTAAAAAGTGCTGCTGATTTTTGAATTACTATAAAAACTTGTTCAGCTTATTTTCAAGAGGAAACAGTGGGATGGCGATTCAAATCACAGGCAATTAACAATGGCTCTAACAATATCACCTTCAACATTCTGAAAAAGCTATTGTTTCTCTCCAGTCAAAAAAAAATACAGTTCATGAGAACCTATTCAGCAATGCAGGACTGTGTCAAAGTCTTAAACTCATTCCCCACCTGAAGCTCACTGTATCTTAAACTCTTTAAGTCAGGCCTCTCTTTTTCCCTTTCCGTGAACAGCCTGAGCAATGTATTAGGTCATAACAAGGGATAGTCAAGTCTCATCGTTGGAACAGGAAGAAAAGTGGGATATAAGTATAATGTAATGTAACTGTAATGTAACATTATGATGACAACAACAGGACTTTTCCTAATAATGGTCCAAAGTCTTTGCTACCTTGTTGTTGTTGTTAGTCGCGAAGACGTGTCCGACCCATCGCGACCCCATGGACAACATTCCTCCAGGCCTTCCTGTCCTCCACCATCCCCCAGAGTCCACTCAAGCTCACACCAACTGCTTCAGTGACTCCATCCAGCCACCTCATCCTCTGCCATCCCCTTCTCCTTTTGCCATCTATTGTTCCCAACATTAGACACTTCTCCAGGGAGTCCTTCCTTCTCGTTAGGTGGCCAAAGTATTTGAGTTTCATCTTCAGTATCTGGCCTTCTAAAGAGCAGCCAGGGTTGATCTCCTCTAGGACTGACTGGTTTGATCGTCTTGTGGTCCAAGGGACTCGCAGGAGTCTCCTCCAGCACCACAATTCAAAGGCCTCAATCCTTTGGCGCTCAGCCTTCCTTATGGTCCAGCTTTCACAGCCATACACATTGCAACTGGGAAAACCATAGCCTTGACTATACACACTTTTGTTAGCAGGGTGATGTCTCTGATTTTTAGTATGCTATCTAGATTTGCCATAGCTTTCCTCCCAAGGAGCAAGTGTCTTTTAATTTCGTGGCTGCAGTCCCCGTCTACGGTGATTTTGGAGACCAGGAAAATAAAATATGTCACTACCTCCATTTCTTCCTCATCTATTTGCCAGGAAATAAGAGGACCGGATGCCATGATCTTAGTTTTCTTAATGTTGAGTTTCAAGGCAACTTTTGAGCTCTCCTCCTTCACCCGCGTCAAGAGGCTCTTTAGTTCCTCTTCACTTTCTGCCATGAGAGTGGTATCATCAGCATATCTGAGGTTGTTGATATTTCTCCCAGCAATCTTAATTCCAACTGGTGATTCATCTAGCCCCGCCTTTCTCATGATGTGCTCTGCATATAAGTTAAATAGGCAGGGTGACAGTATACAGCCTTGCTGAACTCCTTTCTCAATTTTGAACCAATCAGTGGTTCCGTGTCCAGTTCTCACTGTTGCTTCTT